GGGGGGGGGCAGATAGGGAGTCTGTAGGCAGAATGCCAGGACAAACCAACTTACAAACTGCCCTTCGTCGATGCCTATGACAGCCACGCCTAGGGCCTCCTGGGCCACATCCCGGAGCAGGCAGGCTGGCAGTGCCTCCATGGTGTTTCTGGGGAGAGAAAGCCAGGGCATGAGCAAGGCAAGGGAGTGGGGGCCTGAACGCAGGGGCCGGGGAACAGCTCTCATGACCGCCCTACCCGCAAATCACGCGGCACTGTTTGGCTGGAGCGTGAAGTTAGCGCCTGTGGGAGGGCATCTGGGGAGAATAAAGGCCCATGCTCAGAAAACCAGTTATTCAACACAAGCTATTTCACTGGATGCTTTGGACTAGAAATTAGCAACGCGCGATACAAAGCTTTACTGAGACTCAAAAGCTCCTCCCCACTTTGGTTTAGTGGGCCGGGGCAGACAAAAGGCTTTAATTTGTTTTAAAAATGAGAAAAGGAATAAGTAAATATAACTCAGCCTGCATTACAGATGTCTTTAGATCAATGCAGTCACAAACTAGAATTTTTTACTTCTTTCTTTTTATGGCGGAAGGGGCCCATGAAAGGCAAAAGTGCCCAGGGAAGTCCAACGTGGCCCTGGGCCAAACATTAGCACCAGACTCGGAGCCCTGTGTATCCTGGCAGAGATAAGTCCAGAACCCCAACCTTCAGCTCTCTAGAGTTCCCTCCATCTGACTTTTCTGGCAGATTGAAGGGTTTCTCCAAGCTCACAGAGCTGTTAACCAGCAGAGCCAAGATTTATATCTAAGGTCCCACGGCTGCCTGGCGTGCCCTGCGGGGACAGTCATATCCAGAAGGGTTTGAAAGTGAAAGGTCACATGTGGGAATGTTCCAGGGCATTAGACCCCATCCTGCTCCCACACCCAGGGCCCTTTCTGAAGAGAAATGCCTTTCTCTGTCCTCTTAAATAGCGTCTCTGTTTTCCACAGTGTTGTTTTCCTTTGTCTTCACTTTTCCTGCTGGTACTTAACTAAAGCTCAGCAGTTTGTAGGTGTATTTAGAAAAACATAAAACACAACCACTGCTTAGTTATTACCGTGCTATCATTCTACTCCAAGATCTGGGAAGGGCATGAAATGGTATTCCCTGCATTTTAAATCCCCCCTTTCATCCCCAAATAGAGAAGACCAGAGGGCGGGCAAGGGGAGGGTGTCTGGAACTGTCACTCCTGCCAGGGGCTCAGTCCCAGCCGCTGCAGCCCGAGTTAGACAGCACCTGTGCTCAGACAGGCAGAGCTCAGATGTGACCCTGATCTGAGGGACTTCTCATCACTGCACAGTACTGCCTCCTGGTTTCACGGGCTTCTCTGGATGCTCCCCTGCCCAGTGTGTGTTTTAAGGAGGAAGAAAAGCAGGGGCACCTGGGTGGCTCAGTCCGTTACGCGTCCGACTTCAGCTCCGGTCGTGATCTCACAGTTCGTGGGTTCGAGTCCCACATTCGGCTCTGTGCGGACAGCTCGGAGCCTGGAGCCTGCTTCGGATTCTGTGTCCCCCTCTCTCTCTCTGCCCCTCCCCCACTCGTGCCCTGTCTTTCTGTCTCTCTCAAAAATAAATAAACATTTAAAAAAAAAATGGCAGG